CTACACATCCACTGGACGTAGATTATAAAAGTACAATATACACTTCTCGCTAGAAATCTAATAAAAAAGCATTTTAATGGCCAAACTATTCCACAATTTAGGATTTTCCAGAGAGGGTTATTTGTGAATAAACGACCCTCCGGAGCGTTTGCAATCGACAGGAGCATGTTGTTTGTTACACGACCACTAGAGGTGCTACACTTTAAAACGTGACTCTGGGTCGTATTTAGTTGCTAAACAATCGGCCTACAGTATAGGCTATGGTCGTTTTTTGTAGGAGGACAGGCTGGTCAAGAAGCATCAGATCAGTGCATGCACTGCCTCGTCCAATCAGTGAGCGATACACAGTAAGGGGGCGGGGCGAGTGTCTGAGGATTTCATCGAAGGATGGTCTGGTGGTTCCTCGATTATCGCTGCTCCATTATCGCTCCTCGATCCTCGATCCCCCGGCAAAAATAAGGCCATTGGGACGCTACTCAAGATGGCGCAGACAAATCAACTTCCGGTGAGACCAAGGACCGAGGAGCGAGGAAATGAAAATAGTCGACCTGAGACAGGGCCATAGGGGTTGCTTCTTCTCTGAACTTCTATGGCCCTTTCTCATTTCTCTAACTCCCCTCCTCGACTCCTATCCTCGAGACTTAGTCCCGCCCACAGGAGATGCGAACGGAGGAGTCGAGGAGGGGAGCCGAGGAGAGAGGAGGGGAAGCAGCAGGCGGTTAGAGAAATGAGAACTCCTCTAGCGGTCATTTTAAAGAGACGTCCATTAATGATGACAGGAGGCACAGCAGCCCTCTGTCTGATGGACAGATGTGTTCATGACGACTTATATATTTACTTTTAATTCATTCACAGTGCGGTATAATGAGACAATAACAGGCTACAGATGCGGACACACACACACACCATTTCAGAATCAAACAGAGCACTCTCATAATAACGTAACACTATTAGAGACTCGCTACAATGAGGGAAATAAATTACGGGCCAAAAGTTTTATTTACAAGTATTAAAAGTAAGCAGAGGACACCAAACCAACTGAGACCTGTCTGTCCGCTGCATCTACGCACTGTACAACACACACACACCTACACACTGCACAACACACACACCTACACGCTGTAGGCCTACCACACACACCTACATCTCCTAAAGCATCAGGCTACAGCCGTTGTGTATTTTATTATGTGAAGCACTAAATGGTTTTAGAAACATATCGACTCTTTGTTTGTAGATATCTACTAAACTATAGCAAATACAGAAAGTAATGTAGGCCTGTTATACTGAGTGATATATATTTTACACACTGCTCTGCTTTCTGCACGGACCTCACAGCTGTTCTCTCTGTAAACATCGCGTTGCGATGAGAGCAGTTAATACAATAATATCCAGGGGATGCATGCAGAGCTGTCATTGGCTGAGATAAGTCCGGCCGTGCGTCACGAGTCTTTGAAACATCTCTGTTCCCGGAAATGAATCCACGAAGGAGCCGGGAGGACCCATCAGTGTATCCTCGGTTATAACTCCTCCAGAGAGCCTCCTTGACGCTCGATCCTCGGTCATCGAAGTGCATTTAGAGAAATGAGATGTCCTTCAACATGGCGCGCTAAAATTCATTTCCGGGTCGAGGAGGGGGGATTTGATGAAATGAGAAAGGGCCTATGTATACTGCATCCCTCCATATCAAATAAACCATAAACAAATACATAAAGTCGTGTTCACTGCAGCGATCTATTTTACACACAAAACTATGAAAAGTTGGTGATATACAGTGGCATTTTCTCCTGGAGAACAAGGGATCCCAGGCTTCTCCTGTTTTTTCAGCCTTTGTTATCATTTTGATAATTAAAAATATATATTCTTGTCTGTGGTTGTTTTTGCGTTCAGGGCATACAAGAGGTGTAACATTATTTGAATAATAAAAACTTCAGACGCAGACGTCACGTAGCTTCTCAGACGAGAGGGGCCACTGGAGACGAGAGTGTCACGTTACTTCTCTCACGGCATAGTTCACGGCATGGTAGACGACGATCGACACGACTGTCTGCTCGGTGAGTTCGTTAATTGGCACAAATCTATGAGGTGTGATTTGTGCCAAAGAGCAGGGTAAAGCAGAGTAGTAAACCTTGCATAGTGCTGAGAGTATCTATCACAAGTTTCCCTGCACTTCTTCAAATCATGATTTCACCTGATGAAGGTGCTCTGCATGATTGCATATGTGGCACAATACAGCTTCTGATATTGCATCGCTGTTTAAATACTTTACACACCCAATACAATTCAAACATGTGGCCCACAATAACAAAGGGCAATAGCTGTTTTCATTTGTATTAAAGTGTTATTTCTGGTAATAATGATTTTAAATTGTATCTACAGAATGTCAGAAATAGGGAAAATGCCAAACACATTTCTGCAAAGGCCATGATGACATCTCCAAATTGTTTGTCCTAAACCCAAAGATATTAAGGCATAATTTACACTTAAACTTATCCAGACAAAGAAAAAGAAGAACCCTGTCAAGGTTTGGAATGACTTTAATCAGTTCAAAATCCCAGGTTTGTAATAATGTCACTGATTGTAGTTGCTGAGGCCTTCCTCAATCTTTAAATATTAGCTTAATCCAGACCACAATGCAAACGCATGAGCAAATCCCTTTGAGTCAAGATAAATAAGAATGTATCAAAGTTATACAATCTTTTTTGAGTTTATAACAAATCCCTTTTAACTTGTTTTGCATTTGAGTCACACGGGGCTGTGCAAGCAAACAAAGCTCAACAGAAACAGAAATGCATAGTGAACATCGTACTTACATTCATCAGGTGGACAGAGACACGACTCCAAATAAATGTTTTCCAATGAACGTGAAACATTTGTTTATAAAACGTGAGATTTCACATCTTTACAGGTGGACAGGTCGACTGGCCCAGATGAATTGGACGACAGCATCCATCTTGTTTGATGTTTTCCTGCCTCCTAGTGGCCAACAGCACTACATTTAATAAAACGATTCATTCAGCCAACATCTCTTGAAACTGGTCTGTGTAGTTAAGTCAGCATTAGGTTGGCATATTCACATGAAAACGCAACATAGTTAATTTAAAGCACATTTGCCATTTGTCCCCAGGCTAATTCTGAGCAGTGAGCATGGCAGCTATCAGTAACCAGCCGACAAATTAAGAAAAACAATTACCGAAGAGAGAAAGCATTACAGACCACATAGACCTATATTTAATTTTCCTCCCTAGTGTTTTTCCTCACATGTCAAAAGAACGTTGGACTGTTAAATTGTTCAGAAGGCATACATGTTGCTGCTGTGAACAAAGTGGGAGCTTGAGCTCTGTCAGATTATTTCGTTTTTGGTTTAGTGTCTTACTTTACACCATACGTGCCACAATCTTGACAGGTTTATATAACCAACATCTGAAATGTTTAGACATGTCTTTCTTTGTTTATTCTAGTGAAAGTGTATTCTGTGAAACCACTACTTGAAAATCAGGGGCACATTTACTTTGAATAATCTGTTACTTCGCCATATGATGGTTTGGCATCTCCACACTCGGAACCATAGCTTATTAATTATTTCTTTATTTTGTCTTCAATTATCATGGATTTTTCTTGCAGGAAAAGAATCAATACGCTAATACATTCAATGGGAAATTGAGTCCATTATCACAATAACACCAAGAGCCATACATACGTGGAATATAATCACATTTGATAATGCTTTGGTTCGTCAATATATTAAGTCAGCTTTGTGTTTCAATACTTCAAATGTCAAAAAAGTGCAGCAGAGATGAATGATTTGCTTTAAGATAGATCAAACACTAAGGCCACAAGGCTGCAACAAATAGCAATAGATTATTTTTATGGGGCTTGAAAAAAGTGTTTAAGCTTTGTTTTTCTCCTAAAATCAGAACGTTTTTGTTCTCCCTCTTATAAAATTGAAGCAATTAAATCTGTTAATAATGAATAAAACTGCTGGACATTTTTTTATTCTCACACAATGTGGTCCAACATGAATGTGATTCATATTGATTACCATGTCGACAACACTACACTTAAGGATAATTGTATTTATGAACATGATCTGAAATTGTGTTGGCAGTGTGAGAAGTAAATAAAACAAAAACACAAGGACAGTCATTTAGAATGCCATTTATGTCATTGACTTTTCAAGAATCTAATACAAATGCATACACATACATTTCACCACCTAAAACCACATTATAACCACTACTGCAGTAAACAGCACCATACAGATAGAAAAAGAATCAGAGGTTGGCTTTCAAAGCTTAGGAGGGGTCATGAAGAGCCTCGAGCTCACATGCTCACAAACTATTTCATACACATTCAAAAAGAGCATCCAGTATGTACACACACACACACAGTATACATCACTTCAGGGGACATTACATTGACTTACATGCATTTCCTGGAGACGTATCCTAACCTTAACCATAACCAACACATGACTAACCCTAACCCTAACCCTAACCAAGTCTTCACCCTAAAATGAATGATTCCCCTCATGGGGACCTCCATTTTGTCCCCATAAGGGAGGCGAGTCCCCACACGTGACTGTGTAAACAGATGTAGGTCCCCACAAGTATAGTAATGCTAGGCCACACACACACACACACACACAGGGCTTATGTAACACAGCATTAAAGAAGTGTGGCTGTATAAAAGGCATATTAAGGGAGGGCGAGCAGAGTATGAGCAGGAAAAGGGAAACAGCCAAAGTGTACATAACACACATTTTTTTATAGTTAAGCCAACTTTACTTAATATAAATATTCTTCATCCAAAAGTCAGTGCAGTGCCTTCTGCTCAGGCTTCTCCTGGTCCTCATGCCGTGTCAACTTTACACGAAATAACGGGGACAGAGCATGGACAGAGCTGGCTGCTGTCAGACGATCAGCTGTGCAGCGTCATCACAAACGGACGTCGCTTCACGTGACGCTCCGGAGGAAAGGACCCATGGAAAGGACGTCTCATTGCTCTTAAAACTCATTTCCCTGCTTCTCGTGATTTCCTTGCGTCCCTCCATGCTTCCCTTGTGGGAGGGACTAGACGGCAAGGATTTCATTTAACCGACCTGAGACGGGGCCCTAGACGTTAGGAGCTGATTTTTGGATTATCCAACCGCAACCTTCGACTGCAGCCATGCTCTGAGGTGATATCAATGATGCTTCATGTTTATAGCTGATACAACTTCTGCTACAGTAGAAACAGATGAACCATGACACTTATCGACAGCCAAAACAATGCAGTTCCCTTCCGTTTAAAGAAAAATACAGTAACGACTGACCGTAAATTAAATGAATTTGTAGTAAAACATTCTTGTAGCGTTAGCAACTTCAATGTAGCATTACACTGCAGGTGGATTTCCTGCCATTAAAGATGTTGACATGTAGACTGCATTTATGATTTTCGCTGGTCATATTTAACTGATTATTTTACAGATAGGTGATTCAGAATAGACAAGTCGCCTTTGGACTGATCTGACAGCCCTTTGATATGATGACCTACTTTGGAGCAAGAGCAATCCTTCTCAACCTGAGGCACAGTTTCCATAAAGCAGGGTGCTTTACCAGAACCAGGCTCATCCATAGCTCCAGGACATATTTTGTAAAAAGAGGGCAGATACTGTCGCAGATACCCAAGGTGACGTTGCTATGTTGGGGTGCAGTCAATGCATCACCCTGTGCAGCCAGATGCCAGGAAGCCATTCTTCCACATCCAACCGCAGGCAAGAAATCCCTCGCTAAAGTCGAAGTGCACAAATTCATATTTTTTCTTCGCCTTAGCCTTCGTGCATTAGTCCTCCTCCTCAAATTTGGCCCCCTGCTCCTCCTCTCGCCCCTGACTCTGGTGTCCACTCGCTGGGCGTCTTGCTGGCTGGGGGCTCTTCTGTGGGTCACTGAAACATCTGGTCCTACTTTCATCAAGCTGGGGCAGTGGGCCAGCACCAGACGGGACATCTTCCCTCAGGAGTTTTGTGAGCGCTTTTCCACGCTTCATGTAAAGGTGCGCCCTCACTCCTGGAGCCACACCAAGCAGTGTCTCCGGAGGGCCTTTGGGGAGGGCTGGAGGAGAGTTTTAATGTTTGACAGCAAAGAGCCGGTGGGTTCAGGGTGTGTGGCTCAGGTGTACAGAGGCTGGGCCAGGACAGACCAGGTGGAGGATCCAGCCTTCCAGTTGTTGGTGGAGGAGATGGAGAAAGAAGACCTGCTGGAGGCATGGGAGATCCCTGGGCTGGGAGGAGTCGCAAGGGCCCTGCGACAGCTCTGGAGAGGGGGCAAGGAGGAGGAGGGCTATGAGGAGAAAGGTCGCTTTGAGGACAGCAGCACAGAGAAGGGCCATCTGATACCTGTGGCTATCAAGGTGAGTGTTAAAATCACAAAACAGCATCAATGGAGTCATGCCAGAATCATGCCTTCAGTAACCGTTTGTCGGAACAGACTGTCTATATTTTGGCTGTCAGGAGCAGAAGCTTATAAATAGTTTCTGGGGTTGTACAGGTGATTCATCCAGGCGTCAGGAGGCAGGTGGAAATGGACATCCTGCTGATGAAAATGGGCAGTTGGCTCCTGCACTGCCTGCCTGGACTCAAGTGGCTCAGTCTATGTGAGATAGTAGAGGAGTTTGAGCAGCTCATGACAAAACAGGTGGGAATATTCAGATCCCTACATTTAAAATATACATAATTTTCAATAACCTTATTTCTTTAATTGCACATATGAGCCTATTTGTCTACTCTTTTGTGATACTTAAAGAAATACACCCTTTTTTCAGATTGATCTCCGCTTTGAGGCCAAGAACATAGAGCGTTTCCAGGAAAATTTCCGCAATGTGGATTATGTCAAGTTCCCAACTACGTTACGACCATTTGTTACCAGGTCTATTTTAGTGGAGACTTTTGAGGTGAGTACAGACAGATTCAAAATGTATACAAAACACTGACAAACATGATTGAGTGGTAGTTTGAGCTCCAAATGTGCAATGTAACACAGAATATCAAAAGCAAACATCTACAACTACTAATGAAAGATAATCTTTCTTTAAATAACTCAACAACAATTGACAAAATGTCAGATTTTCAGGAAACATAGAATAACTGGTTGAAATAATTATGTACATGAAGCCCACGTTGTTCTGTTTATTTTCAACATGTTTTTCAGGAGAGTGAGCCCATATCCAACTACCTGAGACCTGACATTCCTAAGGAGGTGAAGCAGAGAATCGCCAGAATGGGAATAGAGACCATGCTGAAGATGGTGAGAAATGTCACCTGCAGGATATCTGTTGCATGTTATTTTTACCATTACTCTTATTTCATGACTTGTGTGAATGTGATTAAGATCTTTTAGATTGTATGTTTGCTTATTGTCTCCATCTATATGTCTGTTTTCCAGGTTTTTGTTGACAACTTTGTCCACGGTGATCTCCACCCAGGGAACATTCTGGTCCACTGCTCCGGGCCTCTTCCTGGTTCCTCTGACGGGGCTGGGGTCTCAGGGGAGGCTCAGGGTAAGACCACCCTCACTGACCTGTGGGACACGGTGGTGGTCAGCATCAGACCGGAGCCCTGTCCTCTGCAGCTGGTGCTGCTGGACGCCGGCATCGTAGCCCACCTCAGCGAGCACGACCTGTCCAACCTCAAGGCTGTGTTCACTGCTGTGGTGCTGCATCAGGTAATGAGGTTCATGCTGAACTATGATATAAGGAAAGTCTATGATAAAAATGATTGCATATCATGTAGAACAGGGGTGTCCAAACACTAGAGCAGTGGTTCTCAACTGGTCGGGCCTCGGGACCCACTTTTTTCCTTGTCAATAAATCGCGACCCACCCCCATTTTGAACCGCTCAAATCTATTCAACAAAAAATCTGCATACAATTGTAATTAAAGTGAAGTACAGTGCATATATCCTTATATCCCTTCACAGAACTAAAGTATGCTTTTAAAGAAAGTGTAATCTGATGAAGGTCATTAAGTTTCTAGAATCAAAGTTGAACTGTATAACAAAAAAAGGCGCACTTGACTTGTATTCATTCAATAAAAAGGCAGACATGGCGCCAATCCTGCAAATTCATCATATGTGAAAACGTGTCATGCTGTAAACCCAACCCCAGCAGGGGGGTCTGGGGGGATTCTCAGGAGATTTTTTGAAATACTAACATATAAATACGCATTCTGGTACACTCTGAGAAGAAAATAAATACATCTATTACCACCAGACATATTTAATAATAGTTTATGCCATTTTTTGATTTTTGTTCTGACAGCTGAACTTGCTGCTCCTCACAGAGAGAAGAGTAAAGAGGAGATATCTGTGTGAAATACATTAAATTGTGGGTAAGGGTAGATAGCTCCCATTGTTCTGTGGCCTGTCAATCATCAAACGGGGGGTCGTATTTCATTACGTGTTAATTTTTATCTGAATATGTACCCATGGATGTATAAAGAGTAGTTCTAGCGAAAAGTTATTCTCCGTCGGGACTTCCGGCAACAAAACCATGCCGTTATCTTGATTCTGATTGACCAGAAGACTCAAAAAAACCTCAGCAAACATGTTTTATTGAGAAGATTATCACTACATCACTGAAGTTTTCAAAACCGTTGATGTTCTCCGGCATTTCCAGTCCAACGCTTACTGCATGCGCAGCATTAGAAAATCGGGCTTTCAAAATAAAAGTTTGACTTTTTTTGGAAAAGAAAACAGTTATAATTTTCTTTTTTCACTCCCACACCTACTCGAAATGGGTCGCGACCCACCAGTTGAGAACCACTGCACTAGAGGTCAGGTTTATTGCCTCATAAGTGAAGTTATAAGTTAGCAAAATCAATCAAATGTAAGTAAATGATGCTTGATCAGCCTACATCACAGCTTTCCATAGGGTTTCGTTTATTTTGTTCGCAGCTCATTCCTTAAAACAGAAGCCTTGGATTGCTTATCATAAGAGGAAATAGGAAGGGTATATTCAAAGGTTGTTATGTTAATAAATTGTTGGGCTTTTTTCTTATCAATTTAGTTTGCACACCCCTGATGTAGAAGATGGGTTTCAAGCAGTGTACTTATATTAGCCCTTAATGACCTTTTTTAAATGGCTAACAAGAAATGTATGTAATCTGTAGGTCACATAAAACCTCCAGCTTTGACTAACTGTTGCCATGGTTTTGGATTCCCTTTTCTCAGGGCGAGCGAGTGGCAGAGTTGCTCCTGAATCACGCTCGGGCCAATGATTGCCAAGATGTGCCGCAGTTTAAGAAGGAGATGGCCCAGCTGGTGGACAATGCTCTCAGCAAAAGCCTCTCCCTGGGAAAGGTACTTACCTGGAATTGCAAATATCTCAGTGTTCTACTTATTCCTATGCACACATAGTTTATGGTGTTGGTTGGTTTTGTGTTGGGGAATAACAGTCACTAGTCATTTCTCATGTGTTTTGTTTGCTGTGTTTATAGTTCCAAGTGGGGGAATTGCTGTCCAGAGTCTTTGGTGTACTCATCAAGCACAAGGTAAAATATCAGGAGGTTACATATTTATGTTAAAAAAAACTACTACTGTAGCTTTAAATGCTGTACTTAGGATACTGCCAACTGTCAATCAGGGGAGGAAACATAATTTGAATCCCTGATGGGACGTGGCAATGTAGTTTAAAACATAATTATACTGTCAATGAATATTTGGTTTTATTTTCTTAACTGAGAAATCTACGAATACAAGTCTTTAAAGAGATAATCCTATACTTCAAGGTCTTCAAAACTATCTTTGTACACGTGTCATTTGAGCTGGTTTAATACACGTACCAGCTTTGTTGCAGAAAGGTGTTTGATCAGCTATTAAACTCGATGTTGATTGTTTTTCTAGGTGAAGCTGGAGAGTAACTTTGCCTCCGTTGTGTTTGCCATCATGGTGCTGGAGGGTCTCGGCAGGACACTGGATCCAAACTTGGACATCCTGGATATTGTCAAACCTCTGCTGCTAAAAAACTATACCTCAAGGCTCTGACACACACACACACAAGAGCTTAAGCACACTGGGCATCTGTAACAACACAACGCACCTACACTCTATATATTTTATACATATAGTAGATCTATAGATAGAGTGCATGTGTGTGCTGTGTTCTCGATATAGTGGTGGTTGTATTCAAGCTAACAAGATGCCACTGTGGGGGCCAAAAACACAGTTTCTTCACTACATTTTAGCAGTGCCCTAAATACCTCATTTTTTATTTGTTGTATTCCCACTTTGATCTCTGCTTCTCATGCGTTTCATCATCTACTGTGTTTGTGCTATCATTTAATTTAGAGGAAAATAATCTTCCAGGCGCCTCTAACTGAGCCTAATGAAGGAGAGTGTGTGCTTTACACAAAGCAATCTCGTGTTTATTGAGTGCTAATGGACTCGGACATAGATTGCATCAGAGACCATTTGTAGTGATTTAAGATATAAGAGGAAATACTGTGACTGTCCCTTGTTGCTCTCCATGCATGTTTAACTTTTCAATGACTAATATTGATCTCAAGATGTCTTTTATTGCATCCGAGATAATGTTGTCTAATGGGCCATATTTGCTCTTGTGTGAATCACTATACTGTTCCATTGATGAAGTGAAGGCTAGACTAAGTGTGCACACAACTATACCATCTCTTCTAACTTTCCATTAAAATAGTGGGAACACTTTTATGAATAATGCATTTCAATAAAAAAGGAATGTGTTAATTTGTTTTGTTACCAAGTGAAGGTTTTCTCACCTTTTAGTGACTGGTGCTGCTTCAAAGCAGAACATTCATTACATCATGGACACAGTATCCATTAATTTACAATTTTATTAAATCTGTCAATGAAAAACACAGACAAGAGACGCGTTTCTGTCAATGTCATCAGGAAGAACAGTCAGCATGGCTGAAAGAGTGAAATCAGGAGGTTTTTGGTGCAAAAAAACTCATCACATACCCTTTATTGCAAAACTGTTGACTTTTTCTTTTATCACCATCAAGAGCCCAGATAGAGCAGCACTGTTCAAGTAAGGAGGGAGGGGAGAGGTGACAACTGTGTAAAAAAAAAAAACTTTCAATAATAATAATGAATAATAACAATGACAAAAGAAAATCAAAATATCTCGAAAAGACAAACACAATCACCTCAGTATAAGACGAGATTATGTCACGGTCACAACAACCAGAGAAAAGTTGTTTTATTTTTTTCCCTCTTTTAATGAATTAAATAGTTTTTAAAAATATCTCACCATTTACTTATACTCATCTTTTTTCATTTATTGCGAAAAATAGGCAACTGGACTAATTGTGACGATGTTCTCGTGTGTGTGTGTGTGTGTGTGTGTAACAGAGAAATAGAGATTAAGTGGAGAGATAAAGTGGAACGTCTCGGAGCGTTGGCACTGAGAGTAGCAGCAGTGTGTGGCAATGCAGTACTCTCATCCAGCCACCAGGTGGCACAGTTCAGTATGAACATCCCTCCAGGGCCGGAGCGATGGCCCACTGTGTCAGAGGAAGTTAAAATATGCCAACGACAGCCTCTGTTTTTGGAATGATGCTTGTGTGTTGAAACTTTGTCCACGGTCGCTTGTCTGCGTTGCAAGATCTCAGTTCTATGTACAAAGGTTTCAAATCCCTGAAGGACATCTACAAAGACAAGTGCAACCTCCATGTGACCATCCCCTTTCTGGAATAGTTAAGGGATCAAAGGGTTCCTCTATAGGGAAAAAAGGGGAATAGTACCAATCAGATAGATTAGGTAAACGTGCCACGACAGAATCAACAGAATTGTTCTTGGGAATAAAATTCAGGAATGATGGCTGAGGACCAAGAATTAGGGATGTCAAAAGCTGAAGGGGAACAGGTTGTAACATAGTTTCCTCACTCAGAGGGGACACCAAAATATCCTAACATAAGTTTTTCTAACATAATGTCCAAGAGAGGTGATGAAACAGGAAAGAAAGCAGCGTAATGCACAAATAAAATATCGCATCCATCGTCCATTTGTCATATCCGTTCATGCTGATCCATCAGTCTCTCCATGCATTTTAAAAATAGTCTTTTAAGACCAAGTAGTCCTCCTCCGTGTTGAATTGATTGTATTTTGTTTAATGCTCGTCCCGCACTTTTTCTGTCAGTCTTTGTCAGCCCCCTGGAGGACTGGCTGCCCTCCAGTTATCTGAGGCGGCCCCCAGCAGGAGCATATAGCTCATTTACAAGGGGGATAGAAGGGACACCAAACAGTTAGGAGGGGCTTCTTGGGATTGGATTTGTGGAAGAAATCAGGGTGTAAACTTTAAGTACGATGTGGGTGTGCGTCCTTCCATAGCAGGGCGAGGGAGCGCAAGGAAGGCCAACAGGGCTGGAAAGAGAGAAGAAGGGTCTATGTATAGGTCTTAAGCTCAGCGCTCATTATCTTCTCATAAACAAAATTGTCTTTGAGGCCCAAGCTACGTTAAGGTCATGGCAGATGAAGCTTCACGTTGACTTTTGTTTCATGTCATCGAAAAGATCAGCAGCTCTCAGTGATCCATGACTGGATCCAAACAAGGTAAAACTGAGAATTCGTAGGAGATTAGATGGAAGGGACTGGCTCTTCACGGCAGAACAAAGCACATCTCTTCCCAGACTTCTCCCTTTTACGTGAGTAGCATCTATCTTTAAATGATCTTTTTGGGAGAGGTTTTGGAAGACACAGCTACTATGCCAAATTATCTCCATATGCTTGTCTTTGAATTCCTTTGAGGGGCTTGTGTGGTATTTAAGCCTACTCAGATAAGCATGAAATGGATGTGTGGGATAGGGCAGGAAGGAATAATCATCTACTCCGACTGTCTTTAGCTTCTCTCCATGCTGTTGTTCCACCGGCTGCCACCAGGGGGGGGGGGGTGTTTGGGCTAACAGTGGGGGGACGAAGGGAGGAGGGCATCTGATCAGACATTGTGGCTACGAGTTGAGCCAGGGGTGGTTGAGGCATTCGCCGGCCGAGGCCCTCTTCTCAGGAACCATCTCCAGCATGGGCAGCAGGAACTGGGTGAAGAGGCCGGCGTCTTCGTGCGCCCAGCCGTACTTCTCCACCAGCACGTCAAACAGGGACCAGGGCTTCAGCTTGGTGATGTGCCGCAGCTCGCCTGCAGGGGGCGACAGAGAGCAGAGTCAATGATAGCATGAGGATGTGAGAGATAAAACAGAAGGACGGAGTTAAGAGGGTCGGTTCACCAAAATGTAGTTTCTGTTCGAAAAACCCAAAAGACTGGTGATGGTACTAAGGTTACTTTTAAGAAGGATCATCCAAAACCTACAATGAATTGTCTGTGGACAACTTGTAATGGATACGATGTTCATTCATTATGAGGAACATGGTACTGTGGCTTATTTTGTGTAAACACTAGGCCTACATATGCTGGCTGCTGCTGTAAAAATACATAGACCTACACATTTGTATAATACACGGCTGAAAATAGTCCCCAACTACTAACTGACTATTTACACCTGTTAAAGTAATGTAAGATAACAAAAAGTACACTTAGGTAAGCCATTTTAGAAATTAAATGTACTATATATATGTTTGTCCCATTAGGCAGTAACAAATAGATTGCCACAGACAGTATTGAGATCAGAAAGGGTTGGTCGACAGACAGGTTGGTTTTGTTTTGTATGTTGGTTGATGTAAAAAGATCAAACACCAGCATTATCATTTTACTTCACTTAGTAATATATAGCCATGCAGATCGTTTTATTTTTGACTCTTCACTTAAGATATTTATCTCTGAGATCTCAGCCTCCACCTCAGGATGGTCAAGTAGGACAAAATGTGAAAAAAATCCAAAACTTTTTTTTTTACAAAAATCACACTAATAAAAACAGTGCTCAGTGAAGTATGTACAGATGGTACAGAGTTAGGGTGGGAGATACCACTAACTTTATTATACCAGGGCCAGAATTACAGATATCACCATCAATACCGTTCTATTATTAAAAGCAGCCATTGATTTTTAAGAACGTGAGCTTACATGAGACAGATCGTGTATTTTGGTGTATTTATTCTTAAAAAGCTGCAGGTTGTTACTCTACACTGTATACAGGACTTGGTCATTTACAGTGACTATGAAACATTTAAAAAAAGATGTTGCTGTTTAACTTTGTAATTGTTTAATGTTTTGTGCCAATAAACAAACATATCTGCCCGGACAGAATCCACAAAAGGCAAGACATTCTTTGGGGTTATTTGGGCGAACTGACTCTTAAATCCTTGGCCAAAGCAGGCCATAATTCTGCAGGCTCCAGCCAAACACTACAGCAGCTGATTTCCCTGGTATCATTGCCACTGTGAACGTGTGTTACACTGAGAGCTGCTGTAATGATGGGGTTGAGTAACCTGTAGAATTATTGTCTGCAAACCACAAGAACAGAGGGCGACAGGTAGAGAGAGAGAGAAGTGGAGATGTAATGGAAACACACGAGGAGAGGAAGTTGTTCTTTATTAAATAGAGAAAGAAAATGGTTGTCTGGGAGCGGATGATTAATGATGGAGGCAAAACCCAAGGGTCAGTTCAAACCACAGCTGCCATGGTAACCTCTCCTTCCTATACACTGATTGGAGAACATGAGATGGGAGAAAGGAAACCATTGAGATTCCTTTTATTGTATTGATGAAGTTTTAGTGTCTAAAAGGACGTTTTTTGCATTATTACAGACATTGACTGTCCCAAATGACTGTGTGTATTTATAATGTGTTTTTATGAAAGTGTTCAATTGTTTTGTTTCCCCCATCAATGTGCATAAAGGAAACGCAGCCGCTTGATTGCACCGCACGTCAGAAAGCAGACAGCAGAAGCCCGGAGAGACAGAGCGGGAAAGTCAGACCAGATTAACCGAGCGCCAGGGGATAAAAGAGAGAACATTGAGACATCAAGTGCACGCACAGACCTCAGATAGAGACAACATCAAAGGCAAAATATTCAGGTCTCATGACACGTTATAAAGAATATATGAGCAGAAAGGGAAGGAGATTGGGGGGAAAAGAGAATAAATGAGAGAGTGCAAAGGGTTATCGGCTGTACCAAACACAGATCCAGACACTTACCGGGCTCATAGAGGAGCAGTCAGAGACATTTAAGACCTGAGGTGCAGTAAAGCCTCACTGTTCTGAGAGTACGACTTTACTGTCATTGTTATTGTAAATCCTGCCATTGTAATCTTATTACTAGAATAGAATACCTTCTTCTTTAACACTAACCATTAAGTTATTGATTTACCCTCAAAATACAATCTGTAGAGGTGAATTACTTCAAGTGCAATTGGTTGTTTTGATTCTGGTTGTTTCATACATTTATATTTCAAATTAAATCATTATAAAAAGGTATAAACGATCTATGCTGGTTCGTTGAAATCTATATTAAGATAATACATGTCTATAAATGTCAGATTTGTCCTCTGATGGCAGTGAATTAAATGAACCATTTTGTTGCATTCCATAAGTAGAAATCAGTATTACTTTATTATTATATGCTCTATTGCCGATTGTCCAAAGGCGTATTAAAAAATATTATTATACATTTTATTTTATTATGACTATATTATATAGGACCACTTTCCTACTACATATAAGAAAAATACTTTAAATATGTACAACAAAATCAGCAAAACCTGATTTGACTTTTTTTAATCAAGTAATGTAGTCTTTGAATTGCTTTAACAATGAACATGTTTTTGTGTCAAATGTAATTTACTTCAGGCCACAGCAGGTGTGCCTTTATTTAGGAATGTGTTTTTATTGACCTATTAAACCATGAAAATGTTGTCTTTCCAGAGAAAAAAAAACGACATAAACCTGAAGTCTAAAACTCAAATACAATGTGATCATTTCATAATGATGCAATATTAATGGAAATCAATAAAGCTACATGGAATGTAGTTAGTTCATGGAATTTTTGCTGTAAAAAACGATTTGAACCGCCTTCATTTAGAATACTGTGGCAGTACTACAAACGTAATGACACTAAAAACTTCCCAAAACCTCTACGCAGCTCCTCCTCTCACACAGCTACATGAGGCCTCCCCTGCCCTTCTCCTGACGACCTTTGACCCCGGTGTTGTTTACCTTTCTTGGAGAAAAACTCTCGGCTGAACTTCCCGGCAGCGAACACTTTGCGTGGTACCTTCCCAAGGAGCTCCATGATCAGAGCGATGTGGTCTGCCCACCACCACATACATCACAGAGGGAACAGGCACGATTCAGCATTACAACATGCACACACACACATCAACACGGAGGGCTGTATGGGACCGACACACACTGCTGCCTTGGGGTGCTCCACGGAACACACAGCTAATTTAACCCCTCAAGTGGTGGGGATTTTATGAGATTGATCCCACTGATTTCAGTCAAAATGTTTAATTAAAGGTCCCCTATGATACTGTTTTTCATCAATATATTACAGGTCTCAGATACAAAACATGTCTCTGAAGTGTTTGGCTCAAAACACCAAACAGATCATTGTAGCATCCCATAATCCCCTCTGTTTCAGCCCTGTTTCACAAGTGCTGATTCTCTGTCTGTTACTTTAGATGAAAATAAGGAGCCACTCCCCACGCCCCTCTGAGAGATATTTGGTTAAAAAGAACACAATGGTGCTCTAGGAGGAGATTCAGGTGATAAGGGGGGCGGGTGTTACCTTGGTTGCTGATTGGCTAATAGTTACACAAGCCAAAAAATCGTTATGACATCATAAAGTGGCCAAAATCTGATCAGCTCATTTTCAGACAGGTTTTTATATAAATGGATCAGGACAAAAAGAGAGGGGGTCTTTCTTCCTGAAACTTTCAGAATATCTTTACAGAGGGGACACATGTTGATGTATAAAAGACGTGAAAAAGTGGATTTTGCACAATAGGTGACCTTTAATACATCCAGTTATTACCCATCTAATCCACAGCAATATAAGCTTATTTTATTATGGGTTAAGCTAGTGTCCATGTCTGTACGTTTTAGGCCTCTGTGTGTCCCAGTCCCACCAGCTCTCTAGCCAGCGCTACCTCTTCTGTTGAAGAACTCCCGGGAGTATTTTCCGGAGAGCGCAAAGTGCCTCGGAATACAGCCGAGCAGCTCTATGATGTGGGCTATGTGGTCTATAGAGGAGAGAGGGGGAGGGAGGGAGGGGGGGAAAGGGGGAAAGGAAGAAGGACGAAGAAGAAAAAGAGAAAGAAGAAAGACAAGGAAGGGGAAACTTAAATAAAGGAGAAGGAGAGATGAAAGTAAAGTGGGTAGAATGTGGATAGGAAAATAAATAAGGAAGTGACAGATACAAAAGATCATGGAGGGGTTTGGGGAGGAGTAAAAAGAGAGGGGAGAGGAAGGAAAAAAGAGAAAGTCACAGACAGTAAAGGAGAACAACCTGTGTTAGTGAGCTGTGCCTCCACAGCAGAGGTGATGAAATGAAATAATCAGCCTTGGAATAAAAGAGACATGCATGAGATTCAGAGTTGAATGAAGTGAAACCTGAAGCTAGATTTTCTAGTTGGCCTCAATGGAGGGAGATGAAAGGTTTGAATCATGATCAATCTGACACTGGCTTATTGCCTGTGCAAAACATGCCAAACGAGGCTAACTGTGAGTCTCATGCAATGGGAACAATGACAGGACGAGCTGGTGAGATCAAAGCTCACAGGAGATAAAGAGATGAGGTGAGGATGAGGGTGCATACACAGGGTCTGATTTTCTTTATAATGAACATGTGACTTCATGCTTCTGCTACTAACTGTCACCGTTTAACTGTTTCTACAAAACAGATCCGATATGTTACAAAAGTCTATAGATTGAGAACAATGACAGGACAATGTGTGATGTCTCTCTATATGTAAGAAAGGTTGGGTGAAGATGAGTGGAGGCAAAGCAGCAGAATAAAAGGACAGAATTTACAGTTGACAGTGGATAGGGGGATTTGGGGAAGGGGGTAGCTAAACTCATTTTGGCCATTTTTATCAATGTATAGGTTTTTAATTTATAATTAATAAATTAGTATTGGTATATCACAGTTCTTGGCCATTGTTCAGATGCATTGTTAGAAACAATAGCCACACTTTTCTGTGGACAACATGCTGACAAAACCACACATGCATGCTTAAAACTGTACAATCTATAAAAGAAAAAAGTGTACAGATCGAATGTTGGTGTCTGCACTTGTATTAAGCGTTTTTCAAACTTAATTACAAGTAAATTAAAGTTTAGTGAATGAATTTCAAGCTGTGACTGCATCAGTGCACGTTGTGGCACACTTGGCATCAATGCATCTGAACAATGGATTCAATCGGTAAAGCAAATTGAGATTGAATAGCACACAGACACATTTTATACAAAAATACCTCAAATTAAAGTAAGAACACTTTCAAAAACATTTAGTGACATTTTCCATTAATATTAGCTCGGTTTCATTTAAAAATGCACATCTACAGAATTAAAATGTAATAATAATAAGTCTTTAAATACAACTTTCCCCTGGGGAACACTTACGAAAGCATTTTATATTTCTATATTTGTCTGTTTACACCATGAACATTTAAATACTCACCCTCATCACGGGAGTAGTCCTCTCCAGAGTGCGGCTCAAATAAGTAATCTCCAGTGGCCAGCTCAAAAGTCTACAAGAGATCAAATAAAGTATTTTACTCGAGTCTATACTGATATAAAGGAATGAGTTACACCAGTGGCGAACTGTCAGGGCCTCCAAGGTATTCAGAGAATACCGTGGAATACTCAGATAAAACAAACAAAAAATCGATTTAATTATATAAATAAAATGTAATAAAATGTATGTAAAATGAATAAATGAGAATCGTATCTGTGTTGTTGATCGGTAATATTACAGTGTTACGTTGATTTGTTTGTCCTTCTCGAACCATGCACTACACATTTCAGTGGTTTTGTGTTAGAAAAGAAAGCAACCAATCAGATCTTGTTCTGGGTCTCTGGGTAGAATATCCTTCAACCAAGGTATTCTACATCCTTGATCGAATGCCCTGGCCGTTGCACTGAATGAGAGCGTACGTTTGGACTGACAGTTTGATCAACCAATCATATATTGATTTGTAGCCAATGGGCGTATTCTTTCAGAGTTTCCCTCGGTTCCAGGGTAGAAGGCCCGCTAGTTAACTGGCCCGAGACAGAGGATCTAGATGAATGCCACGAAGCAATTCATGCCGTTTTATTGTTTTTAACGTTGAAATGGCCAGTCCAACAGGTGAAGATGAAGTTGTTACGGAATTATTGCGAGTAACCTTTTCAAGACAACAATTCAATGAAAAGACGGACATTATAACGGCGGGGAGGGCGCGGCAGCGGAGGGTGTGTGTGTGTCTACAGAAGGTCCAGTTGTGATAGACACGGTTCGCCACTGAGTTACACTGTATGTATCTATGTGTCCTCACCATGCAGGCAGTGCTCCAGATGTCTGCAGGAGTGCTGTAACCCGCTCCTATCAGGACCTCGATGGAGCGGTACTGTCTCGTCTGGATGTCCTCTGTGAAGTGCTTGTGCTGTGAAGGGAGAAAAACAAACCTTACAGAGGGCTTCTGCATCCTAATCCCTTATAGTGCTTCTATAACAACATTTATGTTTTGAATGCAAAATGAACAACAATGACTCTTGCTGCCCCCTAGTGTCTTGTTAATTTATGGGAAGCCACCTTTTTATAGACATAGTCAAAGTTCAATAACAATCTGTGATTCTAGTGTGTATACTGTTTGATTGCAAATTGAATGGTTCATAAGATCAGCCCTCTAAAGAAAACTCCTGAATGCAAATAATAATTGTTCAAAACATGCCAAAGCTACCATTTCAAACTCCTCGAAACAAACTTTTCCAACTGGATTTTGTCAAGCTTGAATGTCAATATTTATAATATACAATCAAAATAATTGTACCACTGTGCTGCTGCTTAGACAGTACGTAAAAATGCTTCAAATACAGTGCATTCAATCCAGTTATATATCAATTTCAAGACAGTCTTACCACCCAGCAGGCGTTTCCAAGATCAGCAATTTTGACTCGAATAGTCTCAGAGTTGCGCGGGTCCAGAGGGTTGATCAGCAGATCTGCAGCTCGGGCTTTAACTGGGAGAAGGTGGAGGGAAAGAACAAGGTTAACACACACATTGAAACAGTTGAAAATTAGCCTGCTGCCTAATACTGGCTCATTTACAGCAATGTGAATTAATGTGCACTGTCCTTTAAATAAATAAACAAAATAAATAAACAAACAAACATTTAGCAAAGATAAAACGTAATAATTGACATTTATGAAAGATCAGAGGCGCTATGGCTTTTTTCAACAACAAATCCAATCCTGGCATAGTCGTGATGACATATTTATAGTGTTGTTTCACTGGCTTTATGTGGTGTTTGCACAACTATTTGTGTTTAAAATCCCTATGAGGCTCTGGAGATGTGATCCTAAAAGTGACCCTAGAGCTAGAAAGAGTGTCAAAGTGTAATGATAATAATATGAATGGTGTGGGTGGATGAGTAATGGTGGTGATGAGTCATTAATAATACCCAGAGGACATATGTGCATGACTCTGAAACGTAATAATGAGCAACTGGATTCTCTTCTTAGTCAGCTATAATGCAAAACAAGCATTGATGGTTATTTATTTTCCGCTGATTCGTCACCAATCCGAAGATCACATTTAAATAACCTTTGCAAAGTCGACTTTGGCAAGAAGAAAGCAGAATTTAGGCGGTATTGGTAGATGGTGCAGTAGTTTGTTTTATTTATACTTTTAAGCATGTTTTGTTGACTTGTCCTGGCTGGTTTTCTCTATGCTGCTCGGGGCGTATGTGCCATACAAGCGTACACAGCTCATGTTCGGAGGAACCTTAAAGAAAGGCATCAGTAAAGTGGAACGTCTGTGTGAACTATTCACATCTTAAACTGCACTGTAACTTTTTATTCATGTATTTTTTCTTTCTTTAATGTTTATTTTATTATCTTTGCTTTTTAATGACTGTTTTTAAATGCCTTTTTCTGAATGTCTTTCATTTTTGTGAAGCATCTTGAATTGCCTTGTGTTGAAAGGTGCTATATAAATATAGCCTTGCCTTGTTGTGTGTCACTCAATACATGAATCCACTAACTGCAAATAACTGTATATTTTATAACTCTAATAACTTTAATAAATATAAGTCGAAGAGCCCCAGTCAAACTAGTTTATTACTCAAAGAGTGGGATTACAATTGCCTCCATTTTAACATTTTGAATGGGATTGGACTCTCTCTTTCTCTTACATGTTATATATGTCTTAATGTGATAATTGTGTCAAAAATGTAAAAAAATAACTCTCTGCCTTTTTATATTACGGGTTGCTCTTTTTTGTGGTCTCCATAGTTACATTGTTAAAAGAGAGAGCGTTTTTCGAAATTTAGTGGAAACAATTGATGTGGTGGGAGTGAGTAGAAGTTAAAGAGACATTTTCAAGAACAGTTTAACAACTTAACCCCTGCCTGTGTAGTCACCCACAGACTCTGTGTAATGTACAATGAATGAACGCCCCATATTACATTTAAAGGTAGGGTAGGTAAGAATAGAGAAACCAGCTCGAGTTCGCTAGAATTTGAAAATACACAGCCGGAAAAAATCTGCCACTTCCTTACAGAGCCCCTCCTCCAACACACACGAACGCGCACATGACCAATTAGGGCACGAGATAAGTTTGTGCACAGATGGAAGGCTGACCGGCAGGTAGGCCATCCAGTTACTTTAGCCGGGCTGGCTCAGATGATTGGTCGTGCTTTTTACAGTACTACGGCTTCCACAGATGACATTTTTTTAATGTATTTATTGTCAAAGCATTTAATATATTCATTGCTATCGGGATGTTAAGAGCATTCCATGGAATATAACAAAAAGTGTTTCTGAAGTGAATTACCTACCCCACCTTTAAGGGGCACAAAACTTAACAGGTTTTATCTCCTAAATATTATTTTATTTATTTATTTAACCAGATAAAAGCATTGAGATAGAATCTCATTTGCAATGCTGACCTGGCCAAGAAGGCAGCAACGTTACACATAACACAAACATATAAAATACAGAGAACATAACTAAGAAAACAAAAGACGAAAAAGCAGTCACTGCATTGTGCACATTAGGACAGTAAGAAAGGTGCACTACTTATTACTGCAAGAGCAGCTGGTGGTTAGGACCTCAGACAACTTCAATTTAAAACATGCTATTGGGACAAGTGCCGTCAGTTTGAGGCGTGATTGAAGGTCATTCCAAGACCAAGGACCATAATAAAAAAGACTCCTTTTCCCAGCCTCAGTCCGCACAGCAGGAACCTGGAACCGTATCCAGGCACTGGATCTGAGGTTGTGAGAGTTACAAACTGGAGCAAATCTGGCACATATGTAGAGTGGAAGCTTACCTAAAATGGCTTTATACATTAATTAAACACTTTAAAGTTTAGAGTTCCTAAATAGATTTCTTATATTAGTAAATTAGTAATTGTAAATGTGTGAAGATGTAGATCACTGTGTGTGTGAATCAGTGAATATAATAAACCGTCTCACCCTTGGGAGTGTCTCCCGTGCTGGAGGAGGACACAGTGCGACTGCGGTCAGCCGTGGGGCTGTTGGGGGACGGGCCCGCTCCGATGTCCACCATTCCCACAGAGATGGGGTTTCCCGGCAGAGGATCCAGGGGCAGTTCGGGGAAGAGAGGGATGATGGGCGGAAGGCGGATGCTGCCCCCGTTGGTTAGCCCCGGCTCGCCCAGGTCTCCGTTGTACAGCTCGTACCCGGAGCTGAGAGAGTGGTCCCGGTCTGTGTAACTGAGCTCCGACTCCACCAGGGGGCAGAGGAGGGTCTCGGCGGTGGAGGAGGGGCGGGGCGGAGGATTGTCAGGGTTCGGTTTCCGTCCCTCGGATCCCAACGAAACGTGCCCGTTGGTTTTGGCCACATTGCTCTTGTTGTTCTGGGGTTTCATGGGCAAGGTGGATTCTGTGAGGAGTTCCGTGGTCGTGTCGTCGTCGTCCTCGTCATCTTCGTCCTCATCTTCGTCCTCCTCCTCATCCTCCCTCTCCTTCTCCTTTGACTCCTCTTCCTCTACAGCTGCCTCCTCATCCTCTGTTTTGCTCTCACTCTTTGGCTCCTCTGTTTTGTTTTCCCCCTTTTCAGTCTTTTTCTCCTCGTCCTCGTCCTCCTCCTCGTCCTCCTCTTCCTCCTCTTCATCCTCTACCTTGCCCTCCACCTCCTCTTCCTCATTATCGGCTCCTTTTAACCCTTCCTCCTCCCCCGCATCCTCCTCTTCCTCCTCCTCCTCCCCATCCTCCTCTACCTCTGCTTTGGTGGAATTTCCATTACCCTCATTCGTGTTGGGGAGAGCGGCATCATCTTTTTCAGCGACAGGCGTGGACTCCTCCTCCTCCTCCTCCTCCTCCTCTTCATCCTCGTCTTCCTCATCTTCCTCATCCACCTCCTCATCCGCATCATCTTCGTTGATGTGGAGCTCCTCGTTCTGCTCCTGGGGAGACGCCGCACCTAAAAGAAGACGCAGAGGAAATACTGTTAAAAGAGGAAGCGAGTGAGTGGGAAGGAGATAGAGACGCAATCAAAGACGGTGTAGGCAGTGAATAAAGAGCCATGAAGAGAGACTGGAGAGGAGGCACAAGAGATAAGGAGAATAAAAGAAGCAGAAGGTGAGGAGACAGAAGGTGGAGGAGGGAGACGGAGTTTCTATTTTTCTTTCTTGTGAATCAACCTTGTCTCCTACACACAGTGTGACCAGCGTGGGCAGAGTGGTTGGAGCCAATCCACCGCCTAGTCATTCACTGACGGACGGCATGGAACTACGTACTCACACACTCACTCAAGCTGAAGATATACTCGCTTTAGAAAAATCACCTTTCAAGTCGTTGACAACCAGAGTAGAGTAAAGAGAGCAGCCTAAGCTACGTACAGGATGTATCTCACTTTCACTTCGCACACAAAGAAAGAGAGGATTGCACACCACACCGTTTACAGTAAAGAACTAAAGGTAACAAACCGGTGCCTTCAAATTAGAATACGTTTAGATTCCTATAAGGAGAGAAGAATCAAAAAGAAGATTCAACCAAATATGGTGGTGTGAACGCAAATATATCTGAGTTCTGATGAACTATTGTGGGAAAAGTACTTCGGTGTGAACGCGCCAACTGTTTGAATATGAAGTAAAGCCATGCAATGCTAATAAAGACTATGTATGTCATTTGTTTCTATAATGAAACGATGCATGGGTTTAAGAATAGAATCAATGTGTTTGGGTGATTAAGACTCATTTCAAAAAGAACGTTTGTTTGCAAAAAAGAAAACAATTTGGATCACTAGACCACCAGCACTGCCCTAAAATACATATTTAACCAATATCAAATCACATGCAATATACGCTATTTATCATTTTAAAGGGGCCCTATTATGCTTTTGGGGTTTTCCCTTTCCTGTTGTGTGCTACATAGTTTTATGTGCATGTAAATGGTCTACAGCAGGGGTACTCAAATACAAATCTTAAAGGTCCAAAATAAATGTTTCAATAAAACAAAGGTCCGTTTATTACGGTCATTCAAACTTTTAAACAATTGCAACAAGATTCTTAACACGAGGTTGCAAAAACAAAAATAATCTGTATGCAGCAGTTTTCATTGTTATTGTGTCTGTGCTTGACCCCTCAGAGTCGCAGTGTAAGAGCTGCACAGTTATGAATAAAGGCAGCTGCACCCTCTTTCATTCAGCATTCCCATTATTGCTTTATAAATGTCTTGCCCCCTTGTGTGTCCACTGAGGTTCGTCAGGCCCAACACATCTTCAACAAACTCCCCCTTTGCCTCATCATAACAACTCACAAACACCAGCAACTGAGCATTGTCAGTGGTGTCAGTGGACTCACCCACAGCTAAGGAAATGCACTGCATTTTTTATTCCATCACAAAGCTGATGAATCAAATCACCAGCCAGTATTTATGTTCTTCTGGTTGCTGTGGAATCTGAGAGGGGGATTTGCTTGATTTGACCTGTTATTTCCTCTTTTTGTTTGCCTTCAACATGGTCTCCATCACTTCAGTCATGCATTCTTTTATACTGCAGTTATTATCCAGTGGAAAGTCCTTACCTACTGGCCTAGTTCAATCAAAGTGGTTACTTTTTTTTGGCTGGGCAGTGTAGTTTTAAACACCGTCTTATTTGACTTTCTCAGGACTTAAAACAGTTTTTTGGGGGCAGACCCTCTCAAAGAAAAAAATATATTTACACACGTAAGGTCATCATCTTAATAGTTGTGTATGCTCATCCGTGAGCAGAGCATCAAGTTGACATGTCTATTACAGCTGAATGCGGCGATTACCATTTTGTTCAGCAAAACGCCTCACAAACGTATTAAGATCAACAGCTTTAGTGCGTTTTGATTCAATGCTGAGTACAGCCACACTGACAGTCTCTTCTCTGTCAGACCGCAAATACCTCATTCCTTCAGTGCTTGGGTCCGAATGCTTCTCGTTTTGCGCCGTCCAGTTCAAAATGAAATCGCCGCCAATCATATGTCCACGCTCGCGCCAGGACCGGGGGAGGGGTTACATGACGTGCATCTTGTGCTGCATTCACTTGCATTCGGACATTAGAGACTTTCTCTCATAAATGTCCGATGAGCCACAACTTTTCTTTCAAAACAAAGCTGCCAACTGGGGTGGCAGCTGGGGTGGCAAGGCCTATTTTTAGGGTGTCAGTTGCCACCCCGGTAGGTGAAACTAGGCTACTAGCTACAGTACAGATGGAACTAGATGAGCTGTTAATTCTCGCTCTGAATTTTTTTTTTTAATTCTCGCTCTGACTTAGACAGGTTGAAAGAGACACACACATTTTTCCCACCCGCATTCCGCGAAGACCCGCCCTACTGTGCCTCTGATTCGCAGATTGTTTGGGGGAAAAAAAACGCTGACTGGATGCTGAATGTGATTGGACCAAAGCGTTGACACACACAGGTGGAACACAGTGGAACAGTCAGACATGCAGAGCGCTGTTTGCAGTGGACATAGCGGAGCATTTTGACTCGTTGCGAATGCGTTGTGGCGATGTCTCACATATAATACAGAGAGATCATACATATGAAAAGTATAATTTGCTCAGAGTCCGGAGACAGTGGTGGTTCGGTCCGGATCCGGACCGGAGTCCGTAGTTTGAGGATGCCTGGTCTACAGGCTAAAATCCCAAAGTCCCCCCCCCCCCCCCCCCCTGCCTGAAACGCCTCCATTGGACTCCTTTGTTTACTTTCGTAACATAATGATCACATTATGTAACACTCGCGCTTCTATTGGCTAGCGCTCCAACACATTGTACGTAATAGGCTAAGGGGCGGGGCATCTCTAAGCGGTTGACCGATCACAACAGAGCCGGCCAGCTAACCAATCAGAGCAGACTGGGCTCTGGTTTCAGACAGAGGGTGAAAAGAGGAAAAAAGGAAAAATAAACAACACTAAAGCATGGAGACATGTCCCAGGAGAGACACAACATGACTGAACATTTTCATAAAAGAGCCCCTTTAAAGAAAGACAGCATTTTTAACACACTTTAATTAAGTGATTTATTAATTATAAAAACCTGGGAACACTTGAAAGTACTCACATGTATGATTGGTCAATCTCATTGGCCTGTCCTTCTCCCTCTCTCTCTCCCTCTCCCTCTCTCCCACCTCCTCCTCCTCCTCCTCATCCTCCCCGTCCTCCTCATCATCATCGTCATCGTCGCTCTCTCCCAGAGCCATGCTGGGGCCCAGCTGCGGTTGAGAGGGACGAGGGGTGTGTTCGTGTTCCCCTTTCTCTCCCCCGTCTTTGGATCTCTCCTCCTTCTTCTCGGCCTCTCTCTCCAGCGCTTCGATCTCCAGCATCCGCCTCTCCAGCAGCTCCGCCTGCCGCTTCTGCTTCTTCTTCAGCTTCTTCTTCTTGTTCTTGGAGATCTTTCCCACCTGGGAGGAAATCAGAACGGACAGGAGAGGAAGAGGAAGAGGAAGAGGAAGAGGGAGAGTCACAAAGGGAGGCATGACAAGTATTGATATTTGCGAGTGCACTAAAAGTTCCATTGTATGTTTATAACATTAAATATAAGTACATTTGAAATATCATATCACCACTGTCTTACGGTTTGAGAAAATAATACCACCTTTTAAAGACACTGAATTAAGCAGTCACCAAAAATAAATACTAAATTGATGTTTTTGGAGATACATGGTTTTCACAGGACAGCACCAAAATCTTCTTATATGATACAATCACTTATTTTCAAGTTCCTCTGATGGGGCAGGCATTTAAAACTAATGTATAGCTTAACTGCATCTAGTGAGGTATTTTCGAAAGTCTGACATTGCTGCAAACCCATTAATTGGGGAATCATTAAACTAACATTGTTGTTAAAGTAGTGGTAGAAGTTTAAAATAACTGTTGTGAGAAATGTTGAGGATTGCCTTCAGATATTGTGTTGCACTGAGTACCCTCAAAGGGCCTCTAGCATCAGAGAAACAACACCAAACAGTGTTTAATGCTGTATGTGCCTGTGTGTGTGTGTTTGTGTTTGAGTGTGTATGTGTGTGTGTGCGTGTGTGTGTGTGTGTGTGTGTGTGTGTGTGTGTGTGTGTGTGTGTGTGTGCATTCCTATTGTTTTATACTCACATCTGTTGTATTCACCGGTTTGATCTGCGGGGCTGTGCTAACTGACAGGCATAAAGAAAAACCACAGTCAGAGGCTTCAAAGTTTCATGAACATCAATTCGCCACACAACCAAGTTCACACCGAGTTCAATACTCCACTCTCCGGGAAGAGAGTTAGGTTTGTTGCCTTTTATAGACCTCATACGTACAGAATCTGTAGGTGAAGTGAGAGATGTGCACAAAAACGAAGAAATAGATCCTCCAGAATCCAACAGAATTAATTCATCGTCCCAGATGTCTGAATGGTTTATTCTTCTTAAGCCTGAGAATGTGGTAAACTATTCTCACCTCAATGATCTAACACCAATCAATGTTATTTTTTAAATATTCTTAGGGATAAGGCCAATTTCGAAGATGGTATCAAATTGAATATCATCAATCAAATGTACATTGATGTTCTCCTAATGTGAACACTCAACAGCAAAGTGGGGCACAACACAATAATTTAAGAATGGACTGAACCATTTTAATGTTATTGATTAAAGGTGTGTTACTTAGCTGTTCAGGAAGTATACTTATATATCAACCACCAAAAATAAATCCTAAATAAACTGAAAACTAGTTACTGCCACTTTCCTCCTCCATACCTACTTTTCTGAGACATCCCAAATGAAACTCGCATTTATAAAATAAATGTAGCTAGAATAAACATTTCTACACTTTTCTAAATGACGATAAATGATTTGATTTATTTTGTCTCTTCAGTCAGAGACAGTTTGTATTACCATAAGCTCCTGTGTTTTGACAGTTGATGGTTATGCGCCTCACTTTAATTGTGAAGCAATGTAAGCAGTATAATTGGTTACCCTAAGCAGGCTCAGAGAGACTCCGAAGGGTGATGAAAGCAATTGACAGCTTATGGGGGGGGGGTTCACCGGGAGGACAGGGTTCATGTAGAGTTTGTAGAGACTGTTATCTTTTTTAGAACTGGATTTTTCTTTCAGTAGGGGAACTTGGTGCCGGGAGATGAAAAAGCAAAAATATCTGTTTGGAAACTGAGGAGGCAAAAAAAGCTTCTCTGTGAATCCTTTTTTCTTCACTGAACACTTATTCCATATTCAACTTGGAAGATTATTCTTCACTATAAATATCACACCAACATATTTTTCTACATTATTTGCCATTCGTGTTTTTTCGCACCAATCCCAAATTAGCTTAATCTGAATTATTCCCCTTTGTCCTAAAAACTAAAATGTCTATGAAGAAGCTACACGTCTTGCACAAATAAAACACTAAACCAACCGATCCTATGCTTCGGCCAAAGTTCAATGAACTCTAAAAAGTGTTCTCTTTTAATGTACCAAAGTGAAACAATGCTAACTTAGTAGCAACGTTTGAGGTAAAAATCTGTATGTTAAAACATTAAGAAATATGAATGAAAGATATGCTTAGAGTTAGAATATCGACCTCTCTTACGTCTGTACACCAAATACTGTATAAACCTAATGAGCAGCCAGTTAGCTTAGCTTAGCATGAAGACTGGAAACAATGGGAAAAAGCTAGCATGTCTAACCACTTCAAAACTAACTCAGCATAAAGGAACACTTCCGAAAGGTTGCACTGTTTTCTATAAAACAGACTGTGTGTGTGTGTGTGTGTGTGTGTGTGTGTGTGTGTGTGTGTGTGTGTGTGTGTGTGTGTGTGTGTGTGTGTGTGTGCGTCTACCTGCTGATCCAGAGGGTGGGGGGGCTCCAGCTTTCTGCCATTCGGTGGCCTCCATGGCCATACGCCTAACAAAAGCATCGTCTACACACATCAGGATGTTCTCTGGCTTGATGTCCGTGTGGATGATTTTACATTTGGTGTGGAGGTAGTCCAGACCCTGCAGGACCTACACACACATTCCGATAAACAGACACAGATTGTATCAGCGAGAAACAGGCTCACACATCTTGTTTAGGCATTATTACACTCTGCAGACAAGGCCTCAACACTATTCAGCGCTTTCCTTTTTCATCTATCTCCCTTTCATTCATTCTCTCTTCTTCAGAGCCAGATTATCCATTCTCCTAATGCTGGTCATCCTCTGAGGGCAGAGACGAGAGGCTGTTGATGTTTCTGCTTCACTGTTTCATTTGATGCTGTCCAGAGGCTTTGGGATGGAAGCGGGGAACAGTCTCATTTATTTTCTACTCATCTCCCGTTTGGCTGTCGAGTGGCTGGCAGCGGCTGAATCGGATCAACTCCCCATCCTCATCAGGTTGCCGAGGGAAAAATGCCTCAAAGAGCTGCGTCTTATGAAGGCAGCGGTACTGGAGTGTGAAGTGCACAATGGAATGTATTATTACGAGTAATGGGTGTGAATTTTGCCTCTTGTTTTTATTATACATATATTTACACCATGTGTCTTTCTTCTCTCTCAAATCAGCCTTTAATAGTCTGTGAATAAGATCTTGACCTTCTTCTCGCGATGAATTCCAAATGAAAATACTGTATCATGATACACAAACGCTAATTTTGCCTAATTTAAAAGTACCACAGCTTCACAGAATAGTTCTGCCAACTATAAAAGTGTAGCTAGCATCTTTCTTCTTAAAGAGAATCTCACTCAACCCATTTGAAAAACAACATCAGTTCATGGATTGCTTCCTATGTTTTAATTTGTTGTCATATTGTGAAAGACGCATTTGATGAGCATGCATTTTTCCAGACAGCAATCAGGCAAGGAACACTGAAAAGAGGAAGCCACTGCTTGATCCATCATCATTGTCCTCATCATTGTTATCTGTCTGCTACTTCATTACTTTCTATATGTGCCCTAATCTTTTTCTGTTTTGAATGTGAACTTATCTGATTTATGTTGTTATGTTATGTTTACTATGTGCTAGGGTTAGGGTTAGGGTAAATCATTTCTGATTTTCTGATCGTCATATACTGTAAATGTTTTATTTAGTTTTCAATATGTGTTTACAGATTTGTCAGTTGTATTATCAGCAGACTTATCTCTCTCCACATTACATTTCCTTCAACGCAGTGTTTCTGTAGTCACTGGAGGCTACATGATGCAGTTGAAATTGTGTGTTATAAATGTGTTTTGAACATGCCAATAGTATTTATACTGTGTACTGTGTGTGTGTGTGTGTGTGTGTGTGTGTGTGTGTGTGTGTGTGTGTGTGTGTGTGTGTGTGTGTTTGTGTGTGTGTGTGTGTGTCTCCTTACCTGTTTGATAATGCTCTTGACACACGGCAGCGGCAGACCTTGGTAGTTGGATTTAATAATCCACTTCAGCAGGTGGTGACCTAGCACCTCAAACACCATGCACACATCTGGGACGGACAGTCAAGGACTAATACTACTATATCTTTGACACACACACACACACACACACACACACACACACACACACACACACACACACACACACACACACACACACACACACACACACACACACACACACACACACACACACACACACACACACACACACACACACACACACACACACACACACACACACACACACACACACACACACACACACACACACACACACACACACACACACACACACACACACACACACACACACACACACACACACACACACACACACACACACACACACACACACACACACACACACACACACACACACACACACACACACACACACACACACACACACACACACACACACACACACACACACACACACACACACACACACACACACACACACACACACACACACACTTCTGATTGGGATACGTATGCCGTTGACTCCAGAGATCTTGAAGTCATCTATCAGCTGCACCACCATGTCCTTGTTGGGGTCTGCGGGGTCGCTCTCCCTCACCTGGGGGACAAGAGGACAACGAGATGACGCAAACGTGACAGGAAGAGGGAGGAGAAGATTGATTACAGATGGTATGAAAACAAAGAACTCTGGAGGAAAAAGGACAGAGAGAGAGTAAATGAAACTAACTTCATAATGCTGCTACTTATTAAAAAATGTCTTACTATGCATGTGTATTTTATTAACGTGCGTTTACTTAAAAACTAGTATGTTAACTGTACTTGAATTTGCCTTTCTTTGTCTGCACTGACCATAGACTGTATATAAAGGCACTGACTCATGAAGGGTTTCTGATTGTGATTCTGATTCTAGAAGATAAAGAAAGAAAGAAAGGGGGATTTGGATGGATGAAGGAGAATAGGGAAGGTAGGGGAGAGAGGAAAAGAAGAGGCGAGGGATATGAGAGATACATATGCTGAAAAATGGACTGTCACTGTCCTCTGCTGCACCCAGCATGAAAGATAAATGACCAGCGTATCTTTAGTGTTTCTTGTTACCAGAGTAGAGGAGGTGCAAGGTGCGAATGTCAAGAGAGAGTGAAAGAGGAGGGAAGGGATTTATAAGAAGATGAAAAACTGGAGTAGAAAAAGTTTCCTAAGAAGAGTCCAAACAAAAGACACAAATATGAACAAACAAAAGAACAAAGCGAGATGAAAGAGGAAGGTTCCCAAACACTTGAATGTCAAATTGCTCAGATCCTCACACATCGCAGCAGCTTGATCTCATCCAGGGCCGTCTCTGTGTAATGCTGCGCGCTCTTCACCACCTTCATCGCCACAAAGTTCTTCACTCTGTAATGACAAACACAGAAACATGCACTCATGTTCATACCTATTAAGCCAATAATGCTGATTAATGCATCGTATAAATAGCAGTGACCAATATCATGATGCCTTTCTACACATCTTTGAGCCATTGTTCACACGACCCACATTATAATTGCAAATGTGGCATTTTGTAACTTAAATAACATTAATACTAATGAGAGACGTCAATCAAATCTCTTCTCCAGCACACCATGCTTTATTCACCACATGTTTGCAGCTATCAGGACCGTTTGAGCTTCCTTACACCAGTCACGTGACCTATTGTACAGATCACCATGGATACCAAGTATATAAAACATTATCACCTTTTTTGAAAAGCAAAATATTCGATTTAATCTGAGTGGATACAAGATTACACCCACACAAGATATACATTTATACAAATAAATAAAACATATTGATATATTCAACTTTAAAAATCCCGTAGGCTCTCTGTGATAACTGATATTTATTTTGCCGACAGGTGCAAACGCGCTAAAACAGCCCAAAACATTTCAAATAAGAGAAATGTGTTCCAGCTTCAGAAACGATGCAAATATAAAAACCCAAATGAGCCAAAACACATCTTGACAACACATGCACAGCCTTTACAAAAAGCGCTGCATACACTCGACACTGCCATCACAAAACGCTGCTAAAGAAACACGTTGTTATCCCCGAACGTAAACAAGCGTTCTTGTCCAGGTCCCACCTGTGTGCATCACTTTGAGTGTCCCCAGGTTTCCGTTGTGTTTTAAGCTTCTTGCAGAGTCTTTTTATTTGGAGCCTTTTGTGTTTGCATTGTTTTGTTTATGTAGCGCTTTTTTCTAAACACTGCGCATGTTTTGTCAAGTTGGTGGAGATGTTTTCTTCATTTTGCATCGTTTCTGAAGCACTTTTCTCCTAATGGAAAGGTATTGGGTCGTTGTAGCGTATTGGCACCTGTCGGCCGCCGTACTTTGGGGCCACCAAACAAATACATATCCAATATTAACTCTCTTTTAGCTCGGTTTTTGGTCTCTACCAACTCCCCTCTGATTAGTTAGCTGCTAAATGCTCCACCACTATGTTTAGAAGTTACACTCTAACTGTGTTCATCTGCTATATTGGTGCTGAACAGAGAGTGTACAGTCACACAGATGACAACGACGCTATGAGAAGGGCGAGATTACACCAAAACTGTAAAGTTGTAGACGCACTGAATATAACCTTTGTCAAGGACTGTGACTCACTGTATCGTGTGTGAAGTAACTTAACTCCAAGTCACTACTTTATGACCACCATTAGTGTAATTAACAGTAGTGACAACATGAGTAAATGAGTTTGTTTGTGTGTGTGTGTGTGTGTGTGTGTATGTGTATGTGTATGTGTGTGTGTGTGTGTGTGTGTGTGTGTGTGTGTGTGTGTGTGTGTGTGTGTGTGTGTGTGTGTGTGTGTGTGTGTGTGTGTGTGTGCGCCAGGGAAACGTGACACTGGGTTGATGAGACTGTCATCAATAATCCACCCCGGTTGCTACGTGAAGACATAAGAAACAACATTATAGTGCAAATGAATATCTTTGGTGTCTGCGCACGATGGTGTTGGTTGCAACCGTCGTCTTGGTAAGGTGCCAGCTCGTGTCAACAGGTGCATGTGTGGTGTGTGTGAGGTTTACAGTATATGTGTGTGTGTGAGAGAGAGATCAAGGTGAAGTGAAGGACTGTGGGAAGAGCCTGTGTGCATATGTGTGTGTGACAGGGTGTGTTGAGGGCTTTTTCTGGGTCATGATGTACGTGTGTGTGTGTGTGTGTGTGTGTGTGTGTGTGTGTGTGTGTGTGTGTGTGTGTGTGTGTGTGTGTGTGTGTGTGTGTGTGTGTGTGTGTGTGTGTGTGTGTGTGTGTGTGTGTGTGTGTGCGCGTGACTCACTGTATATCCCAGCATAGCCATACGGTGGAGAAGTGGCCCCACCCCAATTTCCTGATCACATGGTACCTCCCGTTGAACAAATCCCCGATCTTCACCGGATGGTACCCTCCTGAGAGAGATGATGAGAGAGGAGGAAGGTTACAGGCGACTGCTAGAGATAACCAGTCAGTGACATGAAATCCATTAGTGGGTAAGAAGTGGAGGGAGGTCAAACTGATAGAAAATGAGATGGGAGAGAAGTGTTTTGGATTAATTAACAGAAAAGAGCAGGAGTCATTTGAAGGTGTGACCTTGGATTTTGAGAAGATAGATTTTTTCTCGTTCAAACGTTTGATAGCCAAAACAGTAAATAGATTACTAAGTTAAGTACAAAATAAAGGTTGGATGGATATCTATTAAACAAGCCTAAGTAAGCATTGTGCATTACTAAGTATTGTTAAGAATTGTCTTCAATAAATGTAAAAATACAGCAATACACATTTTTAGCAGATGTGGCGCCGCAGGAATTCATATTTATATTATATTAGTTATATATACAATATTACTAAAAATGCAAGGTACCTTTCATAAGAGACTAGAATCACAGGGTTAATCAAAGGAATGCAAGAACAATAACCATTGTTCTTTGTGTCTGTTATCTTTAGGGTTCGATCCCAGCCCGTGCTGCCAACATGTCGATGTATCCTTGGGCAAGATACTTAACCCTGAGTTGCTCCCGATGGCATGGCCAACGGTGTGTGAATGTGTGTGAATGTTAGGTCCTAGAGCAAGTGGTACTGCTCTGTATGAATGGGTGTGAATGGGTGAATGACATGTAGTATGTAAAGCGCTTTGAGGGGTTGTAAAGACTGGATAAAGCGCTATATAAGTACAGTCCATTTACCATTTAGGTTTGTGTACAAAAAAGGTGGCGCATACAGTATACTGTAAGGAGGTTAAACCAAAATGAATTCAGTAATTCTTTCTGTTGACCTCTCTGTTGTGTTTACAATGACAGCACCAGCTGGCAGAGAGCAAGGTCCTGCTTGCCAGGGTAACATTTGTTGTAGGTGTATCTTATTGAACTCCAACTTGGTGAGTAGTGTACTTTTGAATAAAATAGCAAGAAGGTAGGAGAGGCCAAAATATGTAGACAGAACAGTACCACGATGAATACTACTATTGCTACTACTGATCATAATAATATAATACTATACGATATATGGACCTCTCCTAAAGAGGTACAACATGCATTATATGGTATTTAAACGTCTTAAACGGACAAACAGACTCAAAAACTGTTTCTACCCCCGTTAGGCTGCTTAACCACCACACATAATACAATAACCGTAACCATTCTCACACATACACACACTTTTAATGCACTTTATATACTATTTGTATATCAATATTTTTAACTATTTATTAAATGAATGTATGATTGTTTATGTTGTCTGTCCTATTGCCGTGTTTTTTAGTGTTATGTATGCGTTTGTATTTTTTGCACACCGGGACAGAGTTGCACTCTGAATCTCGTTATACTCCGTGTATAATGACAATAAAAGGCTTAAACTTAACTTTAACATTTTCAGAAATAAATCATAAGGCCAAAACATAAAGGGCTCTGTGAGGAAAGTCACTTTGTTTTGACAGAAAATCAGTGAAAAAAGTATTTTCTTCTTTTAGTCTTTCACCTTACTGAAGTGAGATCAGACAGTCTGGCTTCAAAAACAACCTCGTACAAATCAAGAGTTTTCCTCCAAAGCTTCATGATACATCAAGGTATGTTATGCCTAAAGGAAATCATGGCATATTTAGGTTTCAGCTCAGTAAAATATGCTATTTTTTCCAAAAGATATCAAATGATAAGTGTAATGGCCACAGTGTTTACAGAAAGGGCGCAGCATTTTGAAACAGAGCCGTGTATTGAAAATGAACCTCTTAGCAGACAGAATAGCTTTTGGCATCCTGAGACACAGCAGGGAGCCAGCCTATCAGATCTAAACAACCTTGAAATATCAGTGTCACAACGACTAAGAGCCATCAAGAAGGTAGGAGAAATGAAGAAAAGCATCACATAAGCAGAGAGAGGAGACGGTGTGAGACCTTCTTAAAATATGTAAGACATATGTAGAGTGTGGAAGTAATGGGATGGGGCTGATGATTTTCAGCGGTGGAGAGCAGTACTCAAGTACTGTTCTTTAATAAAACTTGGAGGTACTCTTTACTTCCATTTTATGCTTCTTTATATCGCTATTCTACAAAAAAATGTTTAGCAAATATTGCAGTTTTTACTGTATATCAGTACAGATTAAAGATTCAGATATTTGCCAACACAAAATAGAACTAATAAATAAAATATGATATATTAATATGGGTTAGGTTATCCAGCAGCAGTATATAAAGTCATTAAGATAAGCTCCACATGTACCTGCTCTGATGAAAACACTAATGCTTCATATTCAATTCATTTATTAAATGTAATTCTGAAATTGACTTTGTTGTTGATGTTTGGATGCCAATACTTTGCACTAAGTAATATTTTGAATACAGGACAGAGACGTTTTATAACTCAGTATTGCCACATTTAATCAAATCTGAGTACTTCCTCCACCATTGATGATTTGAGTGTGTGTGTGTGTGTGTGTGTGTGTGTGTGTTTCGTTCTGACCTTTGCAGTAGTCTGCGGGGTCCTCCTGCTCCTCATCATCGGAGCCCAGGATCTCCTCCTCCGGCTCCGGGGGCCCTGCCGGCTCGGGGGGAGGCGGAGGGGGAGGTGGGGGAGGGGGGGCAGTCACCGGGGCTTTCTGCTGCGTCTCAGGCCTGCACACACAGCAGAGGAGAGGCAGTTAGGTAACCTTTCAGCTAACTTTGTACAGGAAACAAACTCCCAGTATGAACATTTTTGGTATATTTTGGTATCAGAGCGAGGGCACCTTTAGACTGAGCTTTAGGTGCCGATGACTAATGACTAAATAATAACTTGCTTCTGACTGGCATCATTCAAAAGTGAATCATCCAGCTAATACAAAAGCAAAGAACACTTTTATATTTGCTTTTCTAAAGATATTTGGTCAGACAGAAAAATAGCTCGGGAAGAGATGTTTTATACGTCCAATTTTGGAATAAATGAAAGATCCAAGTGGCATAAAGGCAGAAGAAGAAAGACATCACAACACCAGAAACTTTACGTGATTCCAATACAATAAAACCATCAGAAATAAGTAATATATTACATCAAACGTTTTTTGGTCAACACAGATAGAACCGAGCTAACTGATTATATTTTGTTGGCCAACAGAACTGAACTGAAAGCCCCTTTAACATTTAAGACAAAAAAGTAGAGCACTTGATCTTGTTACTTCTACAACCACTTCCAATAACAGGATCGTTTTTTGTATCAACTAATTTCAACAAAGCTATAAAAACAAATGTGTCAATTGATATATTGTGTCAAAACTGTACCTTAAAAGATGTATATACTCTCAAGACATTTAGATCCAATGCTAAGACAGACATTCAACTTGTTACTGACAAAGATTTCTGAAAATGAGAATTGTGATTGAATGGAATAACCATAAACGTTATTACTGAACTGTTGCCCTGTCTAAACCATAACAGGCGTTGCTTGATGGGCTCATATTGTTTGTGGCTCACAGACAGTCAGGTTGAACCGATCAACACCCACCACGCACTTCAGACATGAATCACCAGAAAAACTGGAATTCATCCAAAAACATTTTCTTCTTAAATTCCTGAATAATGTAGTATTACCGGTATGTAGCAGGTATTCTTAATATGTATGAGGTGATAAATGACATTGACGCCATCATAAATGATATACAGTAATGACACATCGATAGATTAGACTTGATAAGACAAAGTTGATCTCCACAGTCTTAAGCCTTGTTCCACTTCCTTTAGCTGGTCTAAAATGGAACTGAGCCCATGAGAGTGAACATAAATTAGGCTGCAGAGCACAGGCTGCCTCTTTCCCCAGCCCGGCTACTTTTTGGGCATTTATCCAGGTCGACTTACAATGATTGATCAGGCAGGGGTTCAGGGTTTTGCTTTAGGAAATAGCTATTTGTAGGTTTCGGGAACATGCCTGCAAAGTTCCTGTTTGTTTCCCACCAACGCTGCCAGTGTGCTCATTTGTAAAGACACTGCAAACTATGGGTCCTTATTTGTCAAATTAAATACTGCCTTCAGGTTTATTGCAATCTTTAATTTGAATGAAACTACTGTTTACTACTGTTCATGGATGCATTGTTGCAGTTGCAGCGTTTCCAAAGTTAAAGGTCAGGACACCCCAAGGGGAACAAGATTATTCTGAAGGGCTAAGACAAGTCATTTATGCTATGCAAATTACATTTATTATCTCACAGTATTCTTAGCTTTTTTTAATTGCAAATAGCTGAATAACTTGAAGAGGGCATATTATGCTGATTTTCAGGTTCATATTTGTATGTAGTGTCTCTACTGTGACCTATGACTGTGACATGTCTCCATGCTTTAATGTTCAAAAAGCTCTTTATTTTTGCTGCAGCACCTCTTTTCACCCTCTGTCTGAAACCAGAGCCCAGTCTGCTCTGATTGGTCACCTGGTTGGCTCAGTTGTGATTTATCCAGTGCGTAGAGATGTCCCTCACCTTAGCCTATCACGTACAATGTGTTGGAGCTCTAGCCAATAGAAGCTCGCGTGTTACATAGAAATATCACGATGTGCCAGAAGTAAACAAAGGAGTCCAATTGAGCTGTTTCAGGAAGGAGGGGGGGGGGGGGGGGGGGGGGGGGGGTGTGTGTGTGTGTGGGAGAGAAACACCCTCTGGAGGGAACACAGGGATTTTGGCCTTTGCAGACCATTTACATGTACAAAAACCTATAACACTCCAAAAGTCATAACTGGGCCTCTTTAACCTCTCATTGACTCTACAGTATATAGTATTCAAATAAAAACAGGGGAAACTCCCTCTTTTATTGACCTTATCTTTGAAAATATGCTGTGCCTGCAATACATTCAGAATGGATGTATGCCGTCAAAACACGTGTTCACATTCATTGCGATTGGGGAATATAGCCACTTCCACATCTGATTGTGTTCCTGTCAGATGAGCTCTCCGGTCACTATCTTGTACATCTGCAAATCGTGTCATGTGCTTTAAAGGGTAAGAGTCTAGCTCTCATTCATCAGTTCTGGGAAAAGGGCTGACATTATTAAATCTAACATTTACTTATCAAGACTCTATCGTATCTTCACATTAAGACAACGTGATGTTTCAATTATGTCCCTGTATGACTAGAACCAAGCTCGACAAACACTTCCCATTCGGTGTCATTTCACGGTTACCAGTAGCATGATCAAAAGCTATATTAAGACAGAAATAAATATATATAAACACACAAAGCCAGCGCTTGTAAGCTGTTATGAAATTGCGGTCACAGGCTCAGACACATGATGGAGCCTCTTGGTGCGTAGCCATGGCAACTGCAGTGCAAGAAGAAAGGGGGGGGGGATGATCCAGGACACAAAGCGTTAACGTGGCCAACAAAAACACTCGCACAACGGCAGCGGTTCTTCCAATGCAGGAACAACATAACTTGGCATTGAGATTTTTCATTGTGGCTTTACAACACACACACACACACACACACACACACACACACACACACACACACACACACACACACACACACACACACACACACACACACACACACACACACACACACACACACACACACACACACACACACACACACACACACACACACACACACACACACACACACACACACACACACACACACACACACACACACACACACACACACACACACACACACACACACACACACACACACACACACACACACACACACACACACACACACACACACACACACACACACACACACACACACACACACACACACACACACACACACACACACACACTAGAGGGCTGTGTCCTTGCAGAAGGATGCTGCTTCTTTACCAAAGCAGTCACGTAGGGTGTCATACATCACGTCTCTTCTTGCCATTGGCTGTACTCACTTAGCCTCCCATAACTTCCTGGACCCGAGCCAAGCAGCAAAAACATTAAGAGAGCAAAGACGCCACAGCCTGAGAGACAGATAGAGCAGGGGGAGGACGGCGAGAGAATGAAGATGAAGCGAGGGGGGAAAGACACAGAAACCAGAAAGAGGGGGAGTTGAAGAGAAACAAGGAAGAGGAAGACTCGGAGTCAAAGAAGAGGGTAGAAAGAAGAAAGAGAAAGTCAGACATAGACATAAGCAGAAAGAGAGACAAAATGATATATACAGAGAGCTAGGAGACGTTGAGAACAAAATAAAAGGGAGGGAGAGACAGGCAGACAAGCACAAGCAGAGACAAATAGAGAGGTGGAAAGCCAGAAAGAGAGAGACAAGCAGAGAAAAACAAAGGCAGCAGACAATAGAAGAAAAAAACAGAAACAGAGCGAGACAGGAGGAAAACAAATAACAGCAAGGACACAATCAGGCAGGAAAACAAAGTTCAATCCACACCGAGACACACTGCACATCATTCCACTTTGAATTCCACTAAATACCAGGTGGAGGTGGATAAAGACTCAGTGCTGAGCAAGTGGTAAACAAACATGAGGATGACAACAAACTCGTCTTTGAACACAAACACACATCGAGCCAAGGTCATCACCTTCAAACACACAGTGCTCCTTTTGTGTAATTACACATTAAGAGGGTGTTTGTGATCTGATCTTTTCTGCTTTTGTTTGTGTAAAGGTGAGGTTTTTCTTGGACGCACATCACCGCATAATCCATTCATTCCTTCACTGACGCACTGTGCCACTTCACTGCCGAACTGTACAGAGCATTATGTAACACTGTGACCTTGTTAAATACCCTCTACAAAAACAAGTCATTCCTGCATTTCTTCATTCTTTAGATCAGGTTTGAAAGATGTCAACTATTGTAAACAAAACCACCACAATCAGTAGTTTGAAATGGTGATTCTTAAATTTACCACACTGAGATTCAGCAGCAGTCACACTTACCATGCTCCTTCCTTTGGTTGAAGGTGTAATAATCAATTTCCTGCACTTACTTGCAGTCATTTGCACACTAGCTGAATCAATGTTCTCCTCAACCAAAGGGTTTACTTATACCTCACATATGCACAGCAGCTAGCACTCTCATTGAGCTTTGAGCCCTGTAACTAAGCATCTACATTTTAAATAGTTAAAGACCAACCAATATGGCACAAGCTAGAAGGCAAAGTCTTTTCTGAGGTACCTTTTATTTTTGTACAGTGTGCCACAGCACCATACCGTTGATCACTGTTATTTTCCTCATTGCACACGTACCGCTTGCTTGTTAAGCCGGGGGTAGGACAAAATGAACCCAGCAGTAATTTAAAGTGTGTATAGAAGAAAAAAAACGGAGAAGAAAATGAGTACGGCATAAACAATGCAGTAGTTCAGCTTCACTAGTGTATTTGGGCACGTGTGGGAGAAGTCTATGTCTATTTGTGTTGCTGACTCCTGCAGTAATGCACGTTTAAGACATGTTTCATGGACTTCTAAACTATTTTTTCCTGGGACTACTTTATTGGTAAATCACTCATTTGAAACTGGTAAAACTGTTCTAGTATTTGACGGGTTCAGACAGGTGTCTCTCAGCGATACTAACTTTGTACTGTGTAGGAAGTGACTGCAGAATGTGCCGTTTATCTTTGAACTTCTTGTTATGTGTGTGAACATGCCCAGGCTGCTCCTGACACCTTAACACAAGTGTAAGTGTGTGGACAGATAGCAAACACA